GTCAAGCAGACCAGCGCCGTCCGCGGGGCCCCCGGCTCTGCGTCGCCGCGCTTGGCGGGGGAGGGGGGTCCTTCTGCAGCGCCCGTTCCCCCCAGTCCCCTGAACGCGTCCCCCCTCCGTCAGCGTGGCGTCGTCTTACCCAGTGAACGCGTCCCGCTGCTTTTCATTTGCCTTTCTTGCAACGCGAGTGGTTTTGTCCTCTCCTTTCTTGGAACTCCCTTGGCTCTGATAACACCAGTTCTTCCTGGTCCCTCGCTGATGTCCGCGACTTTCCCACAGTACTTTATTTGAGAACTGCTCCTTTTCTGTCTCTCATTTAAACCTTGCTGTCCTCTCAGTTTCTGCCCGTGGCCCCTTCCCATTCTGTACCCACTCTATTGTCATTCTTACTTACATTCAGGGTTTTAATTTCCAGCTGTCCACCAATAATCCCCAAATCTTTATCTCTGGCTCTTCTTTCTCCTCTCAATGCCAGTACCTCCGTTATAAACAAACAGATAGATAAGCCTAGTTACCCCTCCCCCCCAAAAAGAAAGCAAGCCCTGAGTATGCAGAAATAAGAAGGTATTCAGTGAACATAGTTCCCCAATGGGGAAGTGAAAAGCCACCTCAGAATCCGGGGAGTGTGGTGGTGACCGCGTGAACAGTAACTGCAGGCATGATGTGAGAACCTAGTCCTGGTGTTTCGAGGCAGACAGAGAGGGGACGCGGAGGGGTGGGAGGGGAGGTCCAGGGCAGGCGTGGGCTTAGCTTCAGTGCACGGGTTCATTCATGACACAGAGTGCTTGGGTCAAAATAAGGATTTAAGGCTTAAAAATATAGGCGTATCTCAGATTTGAGTATTTTTTAAGGATCTGTTTATAATCTAAATGACACCATCACCACCTTTCACTCTGACTGTAATTTCTGCACCTCTATGTTTAAATCACTTTTTTTTTCTGTAGGATCTTCCCAATTACATGATTTACCAAGTTGCCATAAAGTCTCTTCCTCAAGACTGGCTGTGGTGTGAAACCTGGTGTGACGATGAATCCAAACAGAGAGCCAAAACGATCGATCTGGTGAGTGTTTGCATTTTCATTGGTATAAGCAGACATGAAAATGTTCCAACAGAAATCTTTTCTGCCTTACAGATGGGGTGGCACACGCAGGGCACCCTGCCACCCAGCGTGTTATTTGCTGTCATATTCACCTAGGTTGGCAAGTATGGGGCTGTGTCAGGGGCCCCCAGGCCACCCCCCAGGTTTGATGACTCACTAAGAGGACTCAGGACTCAGAGTCACGGCTGTGATTTATCACAGCAAGAAAATGCAAAGCAGAATCAGCAAAGGGGAAAGGCACTTGGAGTCAAGTCCAGAGAAAACCAGGTTCAAGCTTCCAAGAGCCCTCTCCCTGTGAACTTACCTCCTTCGGCTGCGAGAAGTACAGCAGCACGTGTGGACTGTGGTCCGTCAGGGACGCTGACCAGAGACCCAGTGCCCAGGAGCCTTACTGGGGTCTGGTCGTGTAAGCACCCCTCTGCCTGGCATGTACCGAAATTCCCAGCACCCAGCAGGAAAGTCAGCAGTCGGCATGAACCATTGCTTGTGCTATTTAGGGAAAGTGAGCCATTCTTGTCAGGGAATGGTGGGAACACTCCTGACACCCAGGTTCCCAGATGCCAGCCAAGGGTCAGCCTTGCCAGCAGACCTTTCTAAGAATAGCAATCTCAGGCCAGCTGTGTTCATTCTTTTGGGCACAAGGCCTTTTGAAAGAAAGGCCATGAGCTGGCTGAAACGTTTATGGATTAGCTCTCATCTTAACATACCAGTTTTGTTCTCCTGCCAAAAATTTTCTCACGTAAAGACAACCAAAATAATTCTGTCTACTTAAATTATCCTATACATGTCTCTGTTTCTTCATTATTTTTGAGAAATTTTTTCTTTAGGTTTTCATTTTAAGCAGCATATGCTACAGTTTAAATCTCCTAGACATGAAATATTTCAAACTAATTTATTGTCCAACTGTCTAGAAGCTACATTCCCATACTATGTATTATTTTTAATAGCTACAGGGTATTGTCATTCTTTTTCTGACCATGTTGTTTTTATGTGCGAATTTAAGTGTAATTGTTTACAAGATCATCACTGAAGAACAAATTGTCAAAATATTAGAACTCATGGTTTTGAACAAAATAAGCAGGACAATAAAATATAGAGACCTTTTCCCAGATATGTGTAGAAAGGTACAGGGAAAAAGGAGCATGCCAGAATGTTAGGATGCAGTCATGGGTGACAGAATTCAGCAGAGACGAGATGGCATTCGTAAGGAAAAAGCAAGGGAAATCTCTACAGAGAGGTCAAGAGCATTACTGAGCACAACTCATAGGGTTGTGACTCATACGTTAGCGACATGAGTTCCCCTTGGGGTCTTTAGTGCTGAGGTTGACATGAGCTACCCTAACAAGTGCCCAAAGCTCAGTGGGCTCACACATACCCAGGCACGGACCTAAGCGAGGGTCCTGCTGGTGCGCGGCTCCCCTGTAGATGGCAGCAGCGCCCCCCACCCCTCGTCGGGACCATCAGAATGCCTCAGACCTTGCTGAAGCCCCCCTGGGGGGCATGGTCACCTTGTTTCAGCACCACTGACAGAGACTGCAGGGGAGGAAACTAGCGTAAACTAAGGAAAACATAGTATTTTTGTTTCAATCATCTCTGAGACAACTAGAAAGTAGTTCCATTATCTTTACTTTATAGAGCACATTGCCCGTGAAGTTCATTTCTCCAAGAAGATCCTGTTTCCCACTTCCTCCAGAGATACATCACTGGAGAAAAAATCCACAGTGGAAGGAACTGAAAATACTTAATGAGGATGAGGAAGGGATTAAGGCAGCAGCCTCAGGGCTCGTAACTGAGGGATGAAGGGGAAGGGAAGTTGGGGCAACCATTAGAAAACAGCACGTAGAAGTGGCTTCAAGACATGCTCTCTGTTAAAGCCTCGCAGAGGGCAGGTGAGATGCCTGGCTCCCCCCACAGTCTTTCCTGTCTCAGGGGCATCTCTGTTCTTTACATTGCTCAAGCCAAAGACATCAGGGTCATTTTGATGCCTCTCTTTTCTCACAGTTCACATCCAGCCCATTAGCAGGTCTTGTCTGCTGTACCTTTAAATACATCCAAAGTCAGATCCTTCTTAAACTCCTCCTATACTTTTTGCCTTTTAACCTTTAATTTCCCAAGAAACACTATAGTAGGACCAATTGCTAATTAAATAGTTGAATCAAATATTAGAGAAACCTTGCAGATGATCTTGTTTTAATTTCCTCTTTTGCAGAGAAGAAATTAAGATTCTGCATGTGAGCACGCACACTTACACTCACACAAAGTTGTGGCGTTTATAGGTCTTACTACTAGTAAGCGTGGACTGTCTGAGTCTTACTAAGACTTGGAACCATGAAGACTGAGTTTTTCCGCTGTGCCTATAAAACAGACTGAGTATGTTTAAGGCGTGGAGATTTATGGACTACTCCGAATTTCACAACTATCAGTATTTTGACAAATAAGCTCCAATTAACTGATTTTTAATATCATAGGCTGCTAGTTAGAACAGAGGCATATGAAGGAGGATGAGTATTTCTGCCAAAGAAACTCAAGACATTTCTAAAGGATAACAAATAGTTTTGTCTATGGAAAATATAAAGTATATAAACAAGGTTTTAGCCCAGAGAAAAGGCAAGAAAATATTCATTATGTGTTCTTTTACAGGATGGTCAGTAATTGGATCGTCTGTCAAAACATTTTACAGAATTATTTGACAAACTTCTTATGAACCATCAGAATGTCTTTAAATGATTTTTGTTTAAATTTCTGATTGAGGTTGTTTGCATTAAACACCTACTGCTTCCATAAACTATGATTTGCCATTTCATTTGATCCTTTCTCTGTTAAACTAATTTTAATATTTCAAGTATTTAGCACTTAGGGCTCTGCTTTTTATAAAATTTTGTTTGCTCTAGTGACGTAGAAGTGTCCTCAAGTGTTTCCTTTATGTTTCCTGGAATGTGGTTTTTCATTAATAGAGCTTTACTTAAACTTTCAGTGCAATAACCCCAAAACGAAAGAACCTAAACTAAAAGCTGCTGCCAGGATTGTCCCAGAATGGGTGGAGTATGATGCTGAGATACGGCAACTGCTAGATCACCTTGACAACAAGAAGACAAGTGCAAGTAAGTTATCACTCTGCAGTGGTGTGTGAACCATGTGTTGCATTAAGTGAAATTAGAATAAATTACAAACTGACTCCTTAGTGATCAAATGATTAAGTCAGAATTTCTTTACGAAAGTTTGTGACATCACTACAGATTTCATTTTTTTGTGGACTAAGCTCACAAACTTAAAACATGGATAGAGACTCTGTTCCCCCATGGATATAACTTCAAGTCCTATCACCACGTAGAAGGGTGGTATAGCACTGTCTTTAGAGGTTAAAAAAAAAAGGAAAACTTATCTTTGAGACACACTGAATTTCCTAAATGTGAAAATCCAAGCCCTAAAGTTTAATAAAAGCCTTACATAGCTAACCAAAGTATTACCTTCTGTTTCCTCAATTAATCTCTTACATAACGTAGGTTTCCCCATGGAAAGCTGGTTCCTGCTTCTAAAGCCTTAGTCATAGACTGGAGGGTGATTTGGGTTAATTTGTTTCCATTTCCTAGATTTAAAAAACCGTGGTGACCTTAGCATTTCATCACCCTACATGAACCTTCAACACCAATAAGTATTATGTGTTGGATATTCTTTTAAAGCTGGTATAATTTCCTGATTCCCTCATAATTCCTTTTCCTGGTCAGTGCCTGTCTTTCTATTGTCCTTTGCTCTTTATTAAAAATAGTACTAAGCTTCTATTGTGTTCCAGTCTGCATGTTATCGACTTTCACAGGTTATATTAGTTAATCCTCACAGCACTTTTTTCCAGTTCAGAATATAATTCTTATTTTCCTCAGTCTTACTTTTTAGGGAGGCTGAAATGATTATATATTAAAACTTTCCATATAAGCATGAAATTGTGTTTCATCTTGACTCTGTTTTCCTTAACAAAACCAATGTGTGTTGTCTGAGAATTTCAATATTTAAAATACACCCATGTATTTTTAATAATCAAGTATAAAGATGCCATTTCAATTCAGAAGGATTATTCTGTAAGTGGTATAACTGTTTTCAAAGGGAGAGAAAGATCAGACAGAGGGAAGAGTTAGAGAAGGAAAGAGAGCAAAAAGAAAATTCAGATAATTACCTCAGAAAAAATTTTAAATGCATAAAACATTGATTGAGATGAAATGTTTCTCTTATCAAATTGGAAAGAGTTAAAGGATTAATAATACGCAGCATTAGCGAGGACGTTGACCAGTAAGTGCTGTCCCATGCACAGACATACGGTAGCAATTAGGGAAATTTTGTAATATGCATAAAAAGTTATAATACATATGCCCTTCGGCCTAAAATTCATAAGAAATTTATATTTAAACAATAAAATGACATATGTACACAGTTTGTTACAGCATTGTTTTTAATAATGAATAGAGTCTATCCATCAGTATAGGATTGATTGAATAAACATTGATACATACAATGAAATCCAACTTAGTGTCTCAAGAGAATTAAGATAGGTCTGTGCTGACAGCGCATTTTTAAGTTAAAAATAGGTTATAGAATATTTACGATTGACCCACATCTTAAAGAAAAATGCATATCTGTGTGTATGTGTTTGTGTATGGTTATGTGTATAAATGAGTTTTACCAAAGAGATTTTGGGGTTTTTTAATTTTTAATAACAAATTTAAGACATGTTCATGAGAAACATTAAAACAATGTGGAATTATATAGAGTGAAATTGGAAGTCCTCTTCTACTTAAATCCAAAGAGGCAGCTATTCTCTGTCAAGCAAGTCGACTCATCATCTCCACTGTGTGCTCTGTTTTCCACTTTCAGAAATGTATTAATGCCTTTCCTCCAGTGTTGTGTCATAACCACTTCTTCCACTGTCATTATGGCTCTCCCTTTTCTGTTTCATATCTTTCCAGTGGAATTTAGTGAAGACAGAAACATAGTCTGCCATCTTGAATTGTGGAACAGGATCTATTTAAGTTGTATTTTAATTAATTTCTCCCTGAAAATATCATCTCGAATTCCTGGTATTCTTAAATCAGCTAGTATGTGACAGCTCAGTGATGCAGGATAAGAAACTGTTTTGATCTCTAAGATTCTCACATTTGTGTAGCAGTTACGTCTGTGTTTGAATGCTCTGTCCTCCCGTCTTAGATGAGGACCATACATTACATTAATGACAGGATATTTGGCACACGGTGAGTAATCTATTAGCATTTTTCAAGGCCTCCATATAACAGATGCTGTAATGTACAAAGAGCTGTTCTCATGTCACGTAATGAAGCAAGTAGGTATTAACTAACAAGCAAGAGGATCCTCAGCCAGCACCTGTGCTTTTTATATTATTTCATAAGTCAGTGAGATTTAAACTAATTTGATATTTAATATTTCAAGAGCTAAATAAAGTTTCCTCCCCTACAGTTTTGACACATGATGAACTCTAGCACTGGCTTCTGTAAGAAGATGACAAGAAATCTGCCACCTGCTGGGGAAGTGTAGAACTACTGCTAAGACTTCTGGAAGTTTCATTAAGGAATATTCTTCAATTTAAAATATATTAATTATTTAAAATACATGTATTTAATGTCTTGACTGAGTTTAAGTTATATAAGCAATGACCATTGAGTACTTAAAACTAGATTGTTCCTCTTTCCTGATTGCTTAAGACACTGGGTTTTCACCAGTTAGTGCTATTTTGCCAGATAACCAAGTAAAAGAACATATCTGACGAGCTGGTCCTCATGGGGATTCATCACACCATCTACGTCTTTGGATATTCCAGCCCTAAGTGCATCTGTATTTCTTTATTCACAAGATGCATTTAAAATTAGAGAAACCTATTTTGTGTTTTCTTCTTCTGAGAAAATAAAAGAACTCATGGTTATCTCTGAATAGCAATCTAAAAAATTTAAGCTCATTTATATCTTAACTATTATTTTTAAATGAAGTAGTGTCACACTGTAATCGCTTACTTATCTTAAACTATATGATGTTTTAACCCTATGCTATATTTATATTTTTTAATGTTTCTAGTTTTTATTTCATAAAATGATGTTTCCAGGCTTATGAGGTGAACGGCTAGCTTTATAGAAACTAAGTTAAGAATGTAAATAGTTTCTTTTTCCTGCTGTATATTAGATGAGTAGGAAGAGTAAAACTATCCAGCTATTCTAGAATCATGGGCTCTTGGGATCGGAGGAGACCTCAATGTCATTTGGACCCCGTCCCCTGAAGAAGCTGACTCGGTAGAGCTGAGGTGAGCGTGGGAATCATAACTTGTTTAAGCAGCTCTCCAGATGACTGTTAGTAAGTGAGGCTTGAGGACCATCTAATAGACTTTAACCTGTGTGCCAGCCCCCCCTTACACGGCCCTGCCGGGTAAAGCCTCAGGCCGTCTTGGAAACCCCAGACCCATATGGAACCGTCTGCCCCTAGAGACTGGCGGGTCCGTCTCTGGACAGCTCCACACCGAGCACCCAGCGAGCCAGACGTTGTCTCCTGGCAGCCTCTACTCTTGCTCCTTCGAGCTCTTCTGAACATATCTAATCCTTCTCTATTTGACGGCACAGCTCCTTAGCGTATTTGAGAATAACTACTCTGCTCCCAGCAGCGTCATTCATTCCTAATAAGAGATCACAAGGCCACTCGCGCTCTCTCAGGAACCTCCCTCTGTAACTTGTTAGTGTCTGTCTGTGATGACACGGAGTGCTCCGGGTGTGGCCTGCCTGATGGAACGCGACTATTCCTGTGGCTTTCCAGGGTCCCAAGGGCTGGAGTGGTAACCTGCCCTGGGCAGCCAGTTCCATGGGGTCTCTGGCTCATTCCTCTTCAGAGTCGGTGTAACGTCAGGCTTGGTGAGAGGTAAGAGACTAAGTACGCTTCTCGCTGAGGCCAAATGCACCAACCCGGCTAACTGAGCTCTCCTGTGACGTTCTGGGCAGAAGCCCAGCCGACAGTTAGAGGGCACGCGCTGGGCAATGGCACCTGATTGCCACAGTCACTCCTGACTTCCACCTCCAGTGTGCATGAGCCTGTTTCACAGACTGTGAGCTCAAACTGCAGAATAATGTAAATAGCCTCAATGGCTCTCCTCCCAGTTTGTATCTTGTCATTTGAATGGTTAAATTTACATGTCTTATTTCCAGATGAATGATACCTTGTATCTGAAAATCCAGATTTATAAATGTCTTTACAGGGCGGTTCTCCTTTAAGGTGGCTCACTTTAAAATTTTTGTGTCAAGTGCATATACCTGCTGTGACACATGGAAATCTCCCGTCCTCAGGGACACTTCAGGGAGCTGAACCGCAGGCCTGTGGTGAGCATGTGGCAGGAGCCCGAGGGCACCAACAGATGTTCCCCCTCCTGGATTCTGGTTTTCAGACCTTGTATCAATTTTTAACAAAAATCAAATCCTGGGAGAGAGGAAAATTGGTTATTTTCTATCTGTGAGAAGTTACAGTCCACGCCCTCCTCCTCCTCCTCAGAGGAAAGTCAGAACAGAGTTCAGCTGAGAGCTAGATTTCGGAGCTTTAACCAGGTAAAGACATGTAAGTTTTAGGTATAAAGTAAACCCAGAATCTGAGGCTAAAGACAATCCAAAGTCTTCACGCCTCTCAGAGGCTCCAGTACAGGAGGTTAGACTCCAGCGGTCCTCAAGTTCAGAGCCTAGGACCTCCCCCCAGAGGGAGAGAGGACTTCCAGGAAGCACAGGCTGTCAGCCTGCAGTTACAGGTAAAATCAGGCTCTTCCTTAATATTAAAAGTGCAGTTTGCCACGAGTGGGAACCTGCCCAGAGAAATGGGTGTTCCTGCGTGCCAGGTCCCAACTCCAGTGCCTGAGATGCTTTATACCATATACCTTTCATAAAAATGTGCATGTTATGGTATAAAAGAGAGCATCCTCAAAACCAAATTAAGTATTAGATTTCAATAGTACTGAGAGTGAAGCACTGGCCTCTCACAGGCACAGGCCACGCTGTCCTGGACTGCAGGAGTTAAGAGCTCTTGGGATCAGGGAGAGCCCTTGGCATCTCAGTCGCAGATCACACATAAAGCAGAGGTGGAACAGACTCCAAAAGACTAAAAAGGAGTTGAAGGCAAGAAAGTACTGATTTGACCATAAATATTTTTATTAAATGTGAAAATACACGGGCATAAAAATAGTACCCATATTTGGTAGACATGTCTGAAACCCACTTCAATTAATTTTCAGTGTCTTTTTTATTAAAACACTAAGTTGAGATGGAGTAAGTTACTTAGTCTTGTTCATTCAAACCAACTACAGCCTTGCAGTAGGAGGAGTATTTTAACTTACCGAACATCTCCAATTTTTACCTGCTCTTCGCTCTGCTCTCCACTACAGGTAAGAGGTTCAACCACAGAGGAGGGAAACAAAACCTGTTTACTATACACAGAGCCACACAGTGGCTAATTTTACTCTTAAATCATTCAGCAAATGAGATCATCCATTAAACACAACAAATTATCTCCACCTATTAACAGTATGTGCAATTACAGAATAAACTCTGCTACTAACAAACAAAAAAGGAATGATCTGATTTAGAGTAAGGCTGTTGTTGACAAATCAGTACTTGGCTTCCTCCTTCCTTAATAAATGTGGGAAAGTCAACTACATTCAGCAAAGGTGCATTACTTTCTCTGGGTTACCCACTGATATGCAGTCAGTGAAGACTCAGCACAAGGCCTGTCACCAGTGCTCCATCCCTTGAAGGAGGCACAACCCTGGCTTAGGAGCCACCTTCAACTTAGGCATCTTGTGCCCTCTTTTCATGGTAAACTCACACACAACTTCTGACCAATTTCATGCTTTAAAGGTGAACTCTTTCATACTCCACCATGCATAGCAAATCATGCCAATTTCAAAGTGTGATTCTAGTTGCTTTTTTTTCCCCTACTTGGTTATCAGTAGTATTTTTCTCTTAAAAAAAACGGGGGGTAGTTTTTACATTCCATTATCAGAGTCCCAGTTCTTTTTTTATACTGATATTTAAAATGAACTTTTAATACTACCTAAAGAGAAAGAAGTTTTAAAATTAGTACATCCAATTCACATTTGTAAACTACTGAAGTCGTTTTCCAATTTTCATTTATCCATGATGAGAAAGCACAAACTTTCAGAAGGGGGCATTAAATTAATTTATGCTCTCTTTTAGAACTTTTCTTGTTTAGAGGCTGATATGTTTAATACTTGCTGCTGTGGAAAATACGCACAGTGTACAGACCACTCCTGGAGCTCAATGAGGAGGGAAGGAAGAGTTTGAGACAGGAACGCCATACAGCCAAGGCTAGCTGCCTTATTCTCCTCTTCCAGAAAGAGCCAGGTTACCAGGCACCTGCGGTCTGGGGAGCGGTCCTGGGAGTAGCCCAGGTCAGGGGCTCTTCCTGCTCCGCTGGTAACATTTTCCTCCACCAGGCTGCCCGGACCGATGCTCATGCTGCCACACTCCCAGCACTTCTCTCTCTCACTGTGAGGGGGACCATTGGGTGGCCATCTTCCCACGCAGGCAGACACCGGAAGACTGCTGGTGACCCTCCAGGCTGGAACTTAAAGGTCCTTATTTTCTTCATCAATCAGCAAAACCAGAGTCCAGAGAGTTTCTCAGTGGCGTTGGCACTTGGCACCATAGCTGCTTCTCTCTCATCATGAAAAGTAACCCTGCACGTTTGTTACAGTGACCAAAATAAATCCACGGTGAGACTTTAGGAACGGGACTTACAGTTATTACAGGTGGAGAGAGAAATGAAGCCAGCAACCCTCTAGGCAGCAGGGGGTGGCAGTCAGCGAGGTGACAGGTGCTGGGGACACACGGCCCACGTGGCCCAGCCCCCAACCATCTCGGCTCCCTCTAGCTCCTCGTTGGCAACTTTTCACCCTCTCCTCCCAATGGAGGGGCACATGATTTGATACTTCCTTTGTTCTGATTCTGTGTGAAAATTCTTACTTGTCAAAAGTAGGAAGAAGCCATCGCTCAATTTCAAAGAGGTCACAGTGACATCGTATACAAAAGAACCAGACTGAAAGAAACAGTGCCGATAATAACCGATGAAGTAATCAGAATGAAGAATAAGCAAATGTGAATTTCCCTTAGAAATTATTTTCACACGGGTTTGAATTTTAAGACAATAAAACAAAATGAAAGCTGCAAAGCTGTTCACTACTTTTCAAAATGCAACGTTGTTTATTGGTAAGAAAGAAACTAAATAGATGCAAAAAGCACTTGTCTCAGTTTTTAAAAAATTTTTTGCCACATATGTTTCAGGATGACTGCAGAAGAAAACGATTTGTGCTTGGCTGGCTGTTGTGGGTATCAGCGGTCAGGATGGCCCCCACAACTCAAAGAAAATGCTTGATTTCCTACAAACAATATATTAGGCTCATAGTGCTTAAAATGCTTCAAAATGCTCTGACGCAAAAACAAAAACCTTTCCAGAATAAAGGTAATAATTCTTATCTAAAGTAACTCTTAAATTTTAAATGCAGCATCAATAGTTCCATAAATATTTAATGCTCTTCATTAAAATAACTCATTTTTTAGGGAAAAAATTACCCAATATATAAAGACTGAATAATTCATTTCTTAAAAGGTAAGAAGGAGGTATCCCAAGAAGAGATGCCATCTTGATGGTGGGAACCTGCCAGCGCTGACAAGACCTGCACACCTGTGGGTTCTTCTAGGCAGGAGGACACCGAGAGGCATCAACGTCTGGCAGGGGGTGGCCTGCCAGCTGACGCCCACCTCAGACAGTCCCATGTGGCTCCCCACACACAGTCCACGGTCAGTTGGCCAGGGGCCAGGACGTGAGAGAAGCTGCCGGCTGAGTTTTTTAAAGTGGGAAAGGGCGTTCTTTTTGTTTATGTTGAGCGAGCAACTTTACATTTCTAAGTCAATCCTGTTACAGGAAATGCTGTTTAACTCACAACTTCAGTTGTTAAAGTATTTCATTCTACACTTTAGCAATATTATTTTAAATACCACTGTTTTATTATCTGAACCTATTTTGCATTTTACCTTTTAGTTTGTTGTGTTTCATATTAAACAAAAGGGCCTGTAGGTTTTTACAATTAATTCTATTTCAGTGGTTTTCAGTATTCTGCAAGTACTGAAACAACAAAAATACATGCTTAACATCAGCCCAGCTCTAACCCTGGCTCCAGTGACTATCATTTGGTAGGAGGTTTTCTAAGAGAGGGCTCAGCCTACCTTCAGTGACAGCCACACTCATGCTCTTAGAGATGAAAACACACACGGATTAAGGAGGCCCTGTAATTTAACATATTTACAAGTGACTGGACTGACCAAAATCTAAGCAAAGTTGTCCCTAAGAACATACAGCTCAGAATTTCATATTCTCTCTGAGAATCCTCCTTACACACGCAGGCACTGACATACTACGCAAGGATATGGAGAGAAGAATTTCCACGCGCTCCAGTGTAGAAAAAATAACAAAATCTGCGAGCCTGCCTCAGACCGTTTCTCCAGACATTCACCACAGGGTCAGGCTGCTCTGCCAGAACCAGAACCAGTCCCGCCTCCCTGCCTCACAAACCCATCAAGTCTAAAATGGGTAAGAACGGCTATTTCCTGTTAAAACAATTCTTTGGTCATAGACAAACTGAAAGGTTGGAAGATTTTTTTTCATTAGGATCCCGAACAAGGCTTTTTTGTTTTTAATCTTTAAAAAAATTAAGGAGGAAGAGCAGAAAAACAGCGGCTTTAATTGAAGTGGAATTTAAATCTAAAAGGTCCGCCTGAGCTGAAGGGATTGAACCCTTGCCATGAGTTCCAGCTTCTGTGGAAGGGGCTGCCGCCACCTCCTTGTTGGCTCTCTGCATCCAGGGGGTCTTCTCCGTCGTCAAACTTCTTCCTCATTTCTACAACAGAGACCAGCACATTCAGACCCAGGCGCTGACTGAGGTCAGGAAAGGGTGGGTTCTGGGGACTACACCTCCCAGTTGTCAGAACAGTGGTACCTCATGCTCAGGTCCTGGCTCTCCCTTCCCCACCCAGCTCAGAGGTTTCGTCTCAGGAGAAACAGACTAGAGAAACCAGCCACAGAGAAGAGGGTGAGGATCAGGGTTGAAAATGGGCACTGATTAAAATTCTGACCCCCTAAATCTCCCCTCGCAAGAAGCTACCCAAGGAAACTCTTATCTGAGAAACATGAGTGACCACAGAGAAGGACCTGCCAAAGTTACACGGGCGCTTCTGAGCCAACAGCCACGACACCATCCTAACCCCAGACGTTGAAGGCGGCCAGGCGCAACCTCGTCAACCTGTGAGGCGTCTGATCAGCTTCCTGGTGCCTCACCATCAAGTCTGAAGAGGACGAAGGTTCCCTATTGTACGAACCAAGAGGCCACTCCTGTGCCTGTCAGTCCTGAGGTAAGTCCCTGATGAGACAGGCCAATGCAGGCAAGTCGGGGAGAGGCATCAGACGAGCAAGCTCATATCGTCAGAGATTAGAAAAAGCTATTGCACCTTTAAAACAAGGACAGGGGCCAATAAAAAGGAAAGGAGCACAGAAAAGAACCCTTAGGAGTTAAGAGGGCGGCTCTTTTCTCGACGCGTGCCGCCCTGCTCCTCAGCCCTGCTCGCCGCGGCTCAGCTCCGGAGCCCCCTCCCGGCCGATGCAGCCGCCCCCGTGCCACACAAGCTGAGAGGACACAGCCCATCAGAGGCGCTGCTGACTGAAAGAGCCACCAGCATGCACCCTCCTGTGCTTCAGTAATCCCAGCCTCCCTCCCTGGATTATAAAGTACTTGAGAACAAACATCATTTAATTTGTTTCATAGCGTAAGTGATACGTTCAAAAAGTTGTCAAATGGGCATAAAATTTAATTTCCTTCTATTCTGTTGAACTTGTCTAGCTCAAGTCATAGTTTGTCCTACTGACATGGACAGCCACAGAAAAGCAGGAGATACTAGCTTACCATGAAGTTCCTTCTGAAAATGTCAAAGCATTGTTCAACAGTACCTAAATTCTTAGCTGTCGCCCTCTTATTTGCAAGGTCATTTTAGCTTATAATGAAATAACATTTATAGCAGCCAGTAAATCTAATGATGGCTTGATTTCGGGCAAGATTCCCAGGAGCCACTCAGAAGGCGGGGCAGCCCCTCGCCCACCACGGTGCGCCCCGGCTGGGCAGCAGTGGCCAGCTTCCTAACCTGTAAGCTGGTACGAGGATTCACGCTGCGGAGCTGGAAGGAACCCAAGAGGAGCCCTCTGATTCTTGTGCTTTCACACCACAGGTGAAAACCACTGAGGCCCAAAGAAGTCCTAGGAATTTGTTCAAGAAGAGGTAAGAGTCGCCCTTAGGTCTTCTGAGTCCACACCTGGAGGTCTTTCCCCTGCACCGAGCATGGGAGGGGCCCGAGTCGGACGGGGACAGCCACAAGGACGGACTTATGAAAATGCAAGGCCGGGACAGTCACCGTCTCCGGGGGTCAGCCCCCCAGGCCCACTGACCACGCTCTCCACCGTCCACTTCCGACACAGCCTCTAAGACGGGTGAAGGCACCAGTCTCCGATTCAGCCATTTCAAGAGAACAAAAACATTAAAGGTAGACAGTACCTGGATCAGAGAGGACTTCTTTAGCAGCTGCTATGTCAATGAACTTTTTCTCAGCTTTTTTCTTTTCTTCTTCATTCTGAAAGTTATCCGGGTGCCACTGCAGTGCTAATTTTCTGTATGCTTTAATGATTTCTTGCTTTTTGGCATTTCTGAAGGGAGGTAAAATTAATTAACAATCAGTAGTTAAGAAATGTCCAACACACACTACCACAGAAAGCTAAGAGACAGGTAAGATCCCACTGGCAAACGAGCAACCTGGTTTTCTGAACGGAGCCAGCAGTATCAGGCTGAACGTCGGACACACAGAGCTCTGGACGATCATTAAACTGGCTGGGCTTCCTGGAATACTGGCTCACATTAGAATCTCACTGGGAATAAATTAAAGTACTCCTGCTCTTTATAATGTTCCTATAAAAAATTGCATTGATGCATTTTTAAACTTTCCAAATTTCCAAACTAGCATGATCCAGTTCTTGACATTAAAATAGACACCTGACTCTTTGAAGCCTAGTTTCTATTTTGCTTCCAGATTAGCTTAATTAGAAAGAACAAAGTCTCAGACTTCTGATTGAAAGACTGATGGTTCCCTTCTTCAGGGAAGATGGGTCATATAAAACCACATTTTGAGTACGTTACCTTTTCCCTGTGCCTGCAATTCATTCTAAAAGTGCCACGTTATTTTTAGGCCTAGAGAAGTTTTCTTTTCCCCAAACGCTCTCTCCCTCCTGTCCCCACCAAAAGAAAGTTCACTCCTACCTTCTTAAAAAAATCTAGGCCTAGGACCTATTCATGCTACAGTGTCCTGTCTTTGTTAACTACTGCTAATTCTCCAGCATTGCATGACTAGTCTCTGTCAAAGAAACGTATCTGTGATACAGTCAAAATAGCTTTATGATGTTACAGATTGTTAGGGTTATGATGGAAATAACATAAGGAAATGAATCAGAGAGGGGAAAAAAGCAACAATTAGTTTAGTTAAAAGTACCAATGCAAATTTTATATTAATAATTCACCTTTTTACTCCCAAGATTTTATAATAATCTCGTTTCTGCGACTGTTTCAACAGCCTCTGTGCTTTCTCTAGACCTTCTCGAATCTGCTGATCATTCTCATTGTGTTCCTGAGCAGTTTCATAATCCTGAATAGCTGTCAAAATATATTTAAGATAATGCTGTTAAGAGGAAGTACAATTTGTGACCTTCACGTCCCCTGCAAATACCATAAAGTCACCATCCCCAGCACCTTCTCTGGCCTTTGCTATGAGCCTAAGAAGTGATACCACCTTAATTTTGTTCAAGACTGCAAAAGGCATAATTAAGGCTGAGGTTAGGTAGCGTATTGCTCCCACTCAGTAAAACCCACTGCTGCCTGCTTCCCTGCCACCCTCCCAACATGATCTCCCCTCAACCAGGAGGTGTTTTAGTATCAGCCCTAAACACAAAGCATCTTACCATCACTGAGACTGAGGTGACTGTTACACAGGGAAATAAGACAGCAAAGAAAATCGCAGTTAGCTCTGGGGCCACAGGCCAGAAGAACCAGAGGCTCAGGAAGGGAGCGGGAGGAATCGTCGGCAATCCGAATGACTCTTCACCCACCGGTGTCAACACAAACTAGCACAAACCTCATTTTTTTTTAAAGTGTCAATCAAAACAGAAAACCACAGAAGCCCTGGTATGGGAAGTCTGATGACAATCCACACCTTTTATTTCAGATTAAATATTTACAAAATAGAAGGCATCTGGATATCTAACGTCAGCAGGAAGTCTACACAGCAGGCCTGAGACTTACCCTGCGGAGGGGCTGCTGGCAAGGCCGGCCCTTGCCCGATGACTGGGAAGTTGGATTTCAGCAGCATTCTCACCATCCCCTGATAAGAATGGCTCGCTGTACATAAACCATTTGTACAAACAACGTGGTCTCTGCCACACATCTCGCCTCCTGGGAACCTGGAATTTTCGCATGGGCTTGGCAGAAGGTGCCTACCCGGCAGCCCTACTAAAAGCCCTGGTACCGGGTCTCTGCCGACCTCCCTGGCAGATAACGCTCCATCCGTGCTGAGGAATTACGCTGGTCCCGCGTGATTTCACAGAGACACCTGGAGCCTTGCACCCGGTTTCCTCTGAATTTCACCCCAGGCACCTTCCCCCTTTGCTCATCCTGTTTTGTATCCTTTCACGAGAACAAACTGAGCCCTACGCAGAACTGCATGCTGAGGCCAGTGTGTCCTCCCTTCAAATCACCAAATCTCGGGGCGGGTTTGGGAAGCACCAACACAAATTTTTCTCAATGTTCTCCCTGGACAGATGATTCAAATAATGAACTGTTGGCTTCAAATTCTAGTTTTTTATGGAAATGGATTTCACTATGGAAAAGACATCTCTCTGGATACTGTCTCAGCATTTGCCTTGGCAACAGCTAATCCTGGAAGGGGTTTAGGAAGGCACCTTGGGCAGATTAAAATGAGAAATACTAGAATAAGATGGACAGATTTAGTTATCCTGCACTGCCTAGAAAAATGAACCAACACTACCCTTGGTTCATGAGGGAAAGGGGGGGGACTTCAAGCTTTTATCCCAATTTCTGCCTCAATGCATTAATATTAAATATTAATATGAAACATTAAAAATTACTGTCACCCAAGTGACATAAAATACCTTTCCAATTTAGTACACAAACACAAAGCCATTATAAATAGTAGTGAGGTTTGACTTGCAATACTCATAGCACTTGATATCACAACCTAGTAAGGCAATGTACTTTGAAGGAGTTTAATACAAGGGGAAAATGCTTCAATATACTCAATTTTACTACTTATGCAAACTCTACATTTAAAATATGTTTTCAGTCTTAATTGTTCAGAATATCTCCCCCAAAGCAGTCTTCCGTCTCTTATCTTTTAACACTTAAGAATGGAGGGTATAGCTCAGTGGAGTTTGCCTAGGATGCACGAGGTCCAGGGTTCAATCCCCAGTATTGCCATTAAAAAAATCAATCAGGGGGAGGGTATAGTTCAAGCAGTAGGGCACATGCTTAGCATACACAAGTTCCTGGATTCATCTGCAGTACCTCCTGCAAAAATACATCAGTAAACTTAAACTACCTCTGCCCCCCCAAAAAAAATTTTTTAATCAATTAAATAAACCAGATTACCTCCCCCCACCAAAAAATTAAATAAATAAAATTTTAAAATTAAAAATTTTTAATTGAGGTACAGTCAATTTACAATGTGCCAATTTCTGGTGTACAGCACAATGCTTCGGTCATACATGAATATACATATTTTCATTCTTTTTCACTATAAGCTACAAGATATTGAATATAGTTCCCTGTGCTATACTGTATGAACTTGTTTATCTATTTTATATATACTAATATCTACAAATCTCAAACTCCTAATTTATCCCTTCTCACCCACTTCCCCTCTGGTAACCATAAGTTTGTTTTCTATGTCTGTGAGTCTGTTTCTGTTTTGTAAATAAGTTCATTTGTCTTTTTTTTTTTTTTTTTAGATTCCACATATAAGTGATATTTGTCTTTCTCTTTCTGGCTTACTTCACTTAGAATGACATTCTCCAGGGCCATCCATGTTGCTGCAAATGGCATTATTTTATCATTTTTATGGCTGAGTAGTATTCCATTGTATAAATATACCACAGCTTCTTTATCCAGTCACTGTGTCAATGGACATTTAGGTTGTTTCCATGTCTTAGCTATTGTAAATAGTGCTCTATGAACACTGGGGTGCAGGCGTCTTTCTGAATTAAGGTTCTCTCTGGATATATGCCCAGGAGGAGGATTAAATGTCCATCAACAGGTAACTGGATAAAGAAGCTGTAGTTTATTTATACAATGGAGTACTACTCAGCCATAAAAAAATAAAATAATGCCATTCACAGGAACATGGATGGACCTGGAAAATGTCATTCTAAGTGAAATAAGCCAGAAAGAGAAAGAAAAATACCATATGATATCACTTTTATGTGGAATCTTTAAAAAAAAAAGAAAAAGACAAATGAACTTATTTACAAAACAGAAACAGACTCACAGACCTAGAGAACAAATTTATGGTTACCAGTGGGGGAGAGGGTGGGAAGGAATAAATTGGGAGTTCGAGATTTGCAGAATCTAACTTATATATATATAGAATAGTTAAACAACAAGTTCATGCTGTATCACACAGGGAACTATATTCAATATCTTGCAGTAACTTATGGTGAAAAAGAATATGAAAACGAATATATGTATGTTCATGTATAACTGAAGCATTATGCTGTGCATCAGAAACTGACACAACATTGTAAACTATACTTCAATAAAAATATATTTTAAAAAGCTTAAGAAAAATATTTCACATTATAGGAAAAATACAAAATTACTGATTTTGAAAATTCACATGATTACGGATAGGTAACTAATTAGGAATTCAATGTGGATGACGTAAGATTTCTCACTGACATAAATTAGATAGCTCATTTTTAATGATGTTTTCTCAGATTCCACTTTCTAAGGGGGAATCTTCAAAAAAAGTAGATGACATTCAATTATGTTTATCCCATATATCTGAGCAGCTGTAAATATATAAGCCAGAAATATTAAGGCCCTGAATACATAGTATATAACATACTAGCCAATTCATTTTCTAACCTCTAAACCTAAAAACATTTCACCTTGCCCAAATTATTCTTCTTTCGTATTCCCCTCACCCAGGTCTTAAGGAGCAATACAAACAACCAGATCAAGATGGCAGACAGCACAGGACTGTGCTTGCCCTCCATCCGACTAAAGTGACAAAAATTTAAAAAATGACATAACCATGGCAGCCCTGAAAACTACCCTGAAAATTTCTGGAAGAGAAAAGGCAAATGAGCTCATACTAATAATGAATAAACCTAAGTAGAGAGAACCACAATCCAAATACACACTGAAAGAGGCCCTGGCGGATTTGGAAGCTGTTCTTTTTGGCCACGGATTCTCAGTTTAGCAAGCAGGAGGAGCTTTAAAGCAACCATCAGGTTACTTCCTGAGGTGACCAAGAAATAGCTGGGCAGACTCCCCCCTGCCACGTGGAGCAGATGGCTGCAGCACTAACCCCAAGCAGCGCCCAAGAACCAGTCTCTAAGCAGAACAGAAGATGTGCCTGTGGAAGGCCCCGATGTGCTGCTGGGACCATGAAGAGAAGTAGAACCAAACCCACGGATACTCAAAACCTCTACAACAGACCTGAAACAGACACAGGAAAGGCAGTTCCACCCAGAATTTAAATATACCAAAGGACTCCACCTGAAAAGTTAATGTGTAACTTATGTGTAAACTCCTGCTCATTCTGGCAACTGGACAAGCACCGTAAGGAAAGTCTCCCTGTGAGCAGGCCCTACCCTCTGAAAGCCAGCATGAGCTCCCCAACGCAGGAAAATACCTGAAAGACAGATAGGCACTTGCTGCAAATGGCTCCCCTTTCCCTCCCACCCCACCAATCCATTAGCAAACCCCAAGTCAGCTTCCCTTCAAAATATATCCAGAATTTAACCACTCCTCACCATTTCCACACTCACACCGTGATGCAGGTCATCTTGAGTACACCTGAATAGCTATAACAGCTTCATAACAGATGTTCCCAGCTTCCACCGTATTCCCCTAAAAGTCTATTCTCAAAACAAGGACCTTAGAGGCTCTTTTTTTAAGAGTTCATCAGATCACCAGTATAATATGCCCCATGGAGCACCAACTGTCTCTCCCTGGATATCATACAAACAAGGTAAATGGCGGGGGGTGGGGGGCACACTTCCTTTCCAGCACAACAATTCAAGGAAATTGTACAAGGACTGCTAAAATTAGCGAGTATCAGCCATGAATCCAAGATGAGAGGAGGAAGCAAATACTGAGAAAGCTCAAAGGGGAAAGATCACAGAAAATGCCGGCAAAATATACTTTCTCTGAGTATGGGCTCACCCTGCAGCGAGGGACAGCCTGCATCCTTTACCTAGTACAAGCAGCATGAAATCTGGAGCAGACACAGTGCAGATAACGCAGAGGCCCTGCTGGGAAGGAGACAAAGAAGGAAAACACAAGCGCAAGAAGAGCAAAGAGCCCGGGCAGCACCTCCCAGGCAACGCAGTGACTGTGTGCTCTCTACAGGTGACGGG